ATGTTATCAGCACCGCACTCTCCCGAGTGAGCCACGGGCCGGCCCCTACACCATTTTTCAAGATGTGAAAACTGAGGTTTTGAGAGGAGAAATAATCTGGGCAAGGTCATACAGATATTAGTTGACCTATCAGTTTTGTCCCAGGCATTTGGAACAGAATCTCAGAATTTCCTCCAATTGTATTATTCTAACATCTACTGAGTGTTTAACCCATGGATACTTAGCACATGTTTATTGAATGAATGAATGATTGTGTCAATTTTGGTGAAACTTTTAAATCCCATTTTTAGAGTATGATTTGCAGCAGAGGATTGCCAGGACCTGGAGAAAAGGGTGGACCCAGGGGTCCTGGAGTACATGATGCCCCCACAGGCCTTTGCAGGGGAACCCATTCCTGCAAGGACCAGTCACATCTCCATTACACCAACCAACTTTCCACAGGTCAGGATCCCTTGCTGCCCCTTCCCAGAAAGTGTTTATTTCCTCCCCTCTTGTCTTCCTCAACCAGCCCAAACGAACTTTGAAGATTCCAGAGCCTGTCCAGGCTTGGGTATGGAGGGGGCTTAGTGCTGGCAGTTGGGTGGGAAAAGAGAATAGATGAAGTTCATTTTAGGTTCGTCTTACAGATGAGGAAACTGAGGCCCGGAAAAGGGAAGTACCATGCCCCAGATCTCAGAGCAAATGTCACTCTCTAATCACAGCTCTGATGGCCCAGAGAGAAGCATGATATGAATGCCGGTCCAGGGTGTCACGATGTTGTCATGACAGCCAACTTCTCTGCTTCTCTTTGCCAGGACGTTCTGGGGAGGGGCACAGCTGCTCAAGTGACACAATGGGGACCAGCTGAGTCACAAGAGCACAATAAGCCTTTGCCAAACCCCTCTGAGGTGCCCAGAAGTGACCGCCTTTCATTTAATCCTTAAAGAGGCTTCGGAGGTTGGGGATTATTGGACCATAATACAGACGGGGAAACCAAGGTTTAAAGAGTTTGATAATATACACACAGCTAATAAGTAGCAGAATCAGGACTTGAGCTCAGGCCCAGCTGACTCCAAGTCAAATGCTCTATCCACCTGTCCACAAAGATCCCTCTCAAAAGTCAGGTCTTTGCTGACCTCCTGGCCCAGCTCACCTCTCAAATGGGCAACTAGGTTGTAACATTTGGGTCTTAGTTTATTTAGGCAGACACCTCTTCTTAAAGGCCTCCATCACCACCGGAAGCTAGAGTAGCCCCGTTTTCACTATTCCATCTTCATAGCATTCATCTTTTCTGGTTTTGTTTTCTTTTTGTTTTGGCAGCTGGCCAGTACCAGATCTGAACCTCGGACCTGGTGTTATCAGCACCACTCTCTAACAAACTGAACTGACTGGCCAGCTCCCTTAATACTTATTTGTCTTATATATATTGTCTTATATATATTACCCCCACTGTAAGCTACTTATGAGTAGGAACTTCCTCTTGCACCAAAGTATCTCTGGGCCAATAGAGAGTCAATAAATATTTGTTGAATGCATTAATGAATGAATGAGCAAATGAATAAGTAGGCCCACCACTCAGCTTAAAAAGCCAGTCAAGAAAAAGGTGGTTTTAAGGTGTTTTCCTCAGCAAAGCCCAGTTTTGTTCACTGTGGCGCTAGCAACACGCACGCCTTTTGTTCTCCTAGGACTGGCATCTCCCGAGCTGATGAAGGGGAGCAGAGGCTGGTCTGGATCCAGAGGCTCTTCTCGAACAGGCTTGCTCTAAAGAACCCCAGAAAAGTCCCCAGAGGTGGACAGTCCTCCCACCTGCTCCCCAGAATACAACCTGGGGTGACCTGATCCACCTGGGCAGGCCAGGGTGAGGCGTGGGAAACTGGGGCTTGGACCTGGCGCTGGGCGGGGCCGCCTGCGCGTGGCACTGTTTGCCTCTGTGTATGGCAACCAGAAACCACCGCAGCCAGCACTTCTCAGAGGCACCCCGCCCCCCCTTTATTTTAATCTCCTAAACTGATTTGTCAGCAGCAGGAAGTGACATGACAGCGTTCCTCACAAAAGGGAAACTCCTCTGTGTTACCGTGGAGACAGAGGCCACTGTAGGATTACAGATTAATCTAATCTTAAAGGTGTACACATCATGATATCATCCTCGAAGAGGCCAGCGGCTGCAGATCCAAAGCGAATTAGCTAAATTCCAAGGAAAGGAAAGGAGGCGGTGGGGGTTGGAAGTATCCTAATGAAATAATGGGTGCCTGGAAACCACAGAAAAGCATGAAGTATGCATTGATGTGCTTTCCATGTCCTAGAATTAGAGAGCTGGGAGAAATCTTACCCATCAAATCCAGTGCAAACTGGTCATTTTACAGTGTGGGAAAACTGAGACAGGAGAACTGCCAGTGGTCATTAGGACAGGGGCAAGGAGATCTAAATGCTTCTCTGCGGCCCAGCACATGCCGGTCTTTACATTCATGGGCCCATTTCTTCCTCACAAATGAAGCAGGTTTTATTGTCTTCATTTTACACATGAGGAAACTGAGGCCCAAAGGTATTAACAGCTTTTTCATCCAAAAATTACAAGGTGAAACCAAGGCAAAATCTGGTTGGCTATAAACTAGTCTTTCCTCATTCCCTTGAAGCTGTCTTCTGGGCTGAACTAGGACTTTGGTACCTAGTCTTTGCTGTTTACTTGCTGTATGGCCTTAGACGTGTCGCTTCACCTCTCTGAGCCTCAGTACCTCCTCTATAAAATGGGTGTTGCTGTTAAAGTTTAAATGTGAACATGTGCAAAGCACTTGGCAGTGACCGGCTGATGGTGCTAGCTCTAAAATTGACAAGCTATTATTACCACATTATCAGTATTAAATAGAGTTGATTAAGTTGTCTTCAATCTTTCCCTGGGAAACAAACATTTTAATAGACTTTAACTATCCTTTTCATCACAAGGTACTGATTTTTCTTAAGAAAAGCAATCTCAGGCCAAATTTTCAGACATTTTCTGGAGGGCCTGAACACAGCATAACCGAGACGTGGCTCTTGGGGCTGGTGTGAGATGGAGCAATGACTTGAGCTGGGAGAAGTGAGTGAATTGTTTTCACTGGCGGCTCCCTCAGGCAGCCGCTGTATTTTTCCACTGCGTGGATCACACTGGAGATTAATTTTGGTTCAACCACTGCCTGCCAAGCAGAAAGTGAAGGCCCTAGCCCACGGGGACGTCAGCCACGGCATCTCTACGGACTTGACATTGCTGGTACATTTCCACGAAGGGAGATATTTGCGATAGTAAATTTCTAGGGTTTGATAAAAACATTGGGTACGGTTTGTTTTGAGAGGCGTGAACATACTTGTAATCAGAAACCCAGCTGAGGAAATGAGCTTGCCAGCCCAGGGTGAGTTTTTAATATTTAGAATATGGGAATCTTTCAGGCTCTGAGAGTTAAGTGGCAGATGGTAAACCTGGGGAAAGGTCAAGGACACTAATTCTGTGTCAATACCTTGAGCAATGGGGCTGGACCAAAACCCAGCTGAGGAAATGAGCTTGCCAGCCCAGGGTGAGTTTTTAATATTTAGAATATGGGGGTCTTTCAGGCTCTGAGAGTTAAGTGGCAGATGGTAAACCTGGGGAAAGGTCAAGGACACTGATTCTGTGTCAATACCTTGAGCAATGGGGCTGGACCAGGATCACAGCACAGGGCACTCCTGGATAAGTCGAGTGGAATCTTTCCTTTTCTGCTTCCTAAAGCACTTTGTCCAGAAACAGGCAGGGAGGAGCAAGCGCTAAGGGGCTGGTAACCCAAGAGCTTTGCTGTTTTTTAATTCAAATTTATAGACTGGATTAAGTGTTGGTAGTCAGTGACACCTCTGTTTTAGCCTGCTTGGCAAGAGAGAGTAAAAACTCAGAATATTGCCCTAGAGCAAGTCAGGTTTAATTGCTTATCTTCCTGAACAAAATTATGAAATCAGAGCAGCAGGTGACCTAAAGGAGGCAGCTACCAAAAATGCCACGTCTATATGCAGAGATGTTGGCGTGGATGTCTTCCAAAATGTTAACAATGATCAGGTTGGGGGTAGAAGTGTTACAGGTAATTTCTCTACATTGTATTTGCTTACAGTGCTTGGATTCTTTTAAGCCATTCAATGTATTATTTTCAGAAACACAAGGCATTTTGAAAGCAAAAAGAGAGCTAGTGAGATAGGCAAGTAGCAAAATGCAAAGCTCATGCAACTAGGAAGCAAAACAGATGTAGGTTCCAATCCCCCTACCTCTGCCACTTGGCTATGCTGGGTCTCAGCTTCTTCATTTGCAAAAGACCTTGCTGAGCTTTCCTGGGGGTAGGTAGCACACACTGCCTTGCACATAGTACGAAAACACTGATGTCAAATGTTTTGGAAAACTTTAATCATCTTTGTAACTTGAGTACATCCCAGAGTGGGGAGAGAGTCTTTTTATATTATCCTGAAGAAGGTCTTAAACGAAAAAAAGCTTCTTCATTTGCAAAAGACCTTGCTGAGCTTTCCTGGGGGTAGGTAGCACACACTGCCTCGCACATAGTACGAAAACACTGATGTCAAATGTTTTGGAAAACTTTAATCATCTTTGTAACTTGAGTACATCCCAGAGTGGGGAGGGAGTCTTTTTATATTATCCTGAAGAAGGTCTTAAACGAAAAAAGCAATCCACACAAATGGCCATTTCTTCCTAGTTTTAGGCTCTGGGGACACTTGGGCTTCCTAGGTGATGTAGATTATGCAGCTGTGCATAATCTGTGCATAAAAGGGCAGGAGTGGGCACTTTGACCCCATACTAGGATTTCAGCTACAGCACCTGGTTTTTCATGATAGATCTCACGTGACTACCTCCCCTGCAACCCAGATATCTTGTGGGACCAAGGGGCCACCAAAAGGTGTGGGACCAGGTCCGAAAACACACATTTTGGAGGCCCTTGTCCAAAGTCTTCCCTATTTCACTAGCAGGAGAATATCAGAGAGGGATCAGCTGGGGTTGCCAAAGAAATAAAGCATTGAGATTTCAATAGAAATGCCATAATTTATTCTGTTGTATAAAAAAGTCATCTTTATGTAACAAAATGTCTTCTTAGACGAAGAAATATATTATTTCAGGTCATAAATAATCAGCAAACATACAACTGTTGGCAACTAAAAAAAAAACCCAACACTGGTGTTTTCCATCAGTGCTGAAAACAAACCTGGTTAGGACGTATTTACAAGATAGTACAGTACTCAAACACAAAAACTGAGGTATTTGGTTCTTCTAGTAGACACTAACGTTTGTGAAGGCAGATCACCTACACAAAAATAAATAAGGTGTATTTGCATACATATATGTGTTGTCGGGAATGGTAATACTAGTAGGTATGTCAAACATGAAGAATTTCTCCAAAACACAGGGCAATCAAAAAGAAACTGGCTCACACACTGAGTCCTTTCTCTTCTGCCCCGTTTTGTCAGAGGGACTTGATGTACCCACTATATATTGGTCCCGAATGTGCTGAGTTCAGCAAACATCTTGACACGAAGTCATCACTACAACTGCTTAGGAACCCAGTGGAAATCAGGTGAAATTAAATAAATAAGGACCAGCCCTGGTGAACCCCTCCCCAGAGTTATTGCATTTCTCCTCTCAAGAAGGAGCTTGGAGTCCCTGTGGGATGTGAAGAGCCTCACTTTCTGTGGCCTTTCAACAGCTGGGAGAGGTGGTGATGGGGCTCTGAAGGTAGCTCAGTGCACTGTTTGTGGAGTGGACAGGGATAGAGACAGGGAAGTTGAAGACGGTGGTGGTAGAGGTGCCTCGGTCGAGCACAGCCATGGCAGGGCTTCCAGCCTCTGCAGAGCAGTGCGGGGCCAGCACCTGGGACTCAAACTGCAGCAGCTGGCCCATGAAGCTGAAGTTGGGGGAGATGATGCTTCGCCTCTGCTTCACAAACTCAAAGGCCTCGTCCAGCTTGACTCGGTTAGTCCTCATGAGGTAAGCGAGGCAGATGGTGGCTGATCGGGAAATGCCCGCCTGGCAGTGGACAAACACCCTTCCTCCTGCATTTTTGATAGAGTCTAGAAAACAAAGGACACCTGGTTACTCAAGAGCTCAGAAGGACCCCAGTCCCAGATATGGGGTGTCTAAGAAAAGTCATGTGTGTCCTATCCAGAGATGGTCATCACCCCCTCATGGGCACCGTCCATCACATGGACAGTGACAAAATGGGTACTATGCAAAGGACAGCAAGGGACTTAAACCCAGATGGGTAGTTTCACTTAGCAGACTGCCCCTGGGCAAGTCAACTCAACCTTCTTAGCCTCAATTTGCTAATCTGTAAAGAGGGACATCAAGTCCATATTTTGCAAGGATGTTGCCCACACCAGACTGATATTTAACATCTGGAGGAAGGCTAAGAAGTGTACCATTGAAGTCCCTGTCATGGAGGTTGGGCTCTGGCTGAAACTCGGAGAAAGGCAGATAAGTCCCAGGCATCCACTCTATTTACCTATAAAGTCAATTGCCTCGTTGAACCAGGAGCTGATATCCGCCTTGTGATTGTCCTCCACAGGGATGCTTTTATACTGGTAGTGACCCTCGAAATGGTTGGGACAATTGGCTGAGACATTGATCAAGGCAGTGATGCCCAAGGTATCCAGCATGTCCTTGCGGGAAGCGTGATAGGCACTGCCCAGGTACAGAAAGGGCAGGATCTCCACTGGTCCACCCTGAAATCCAGAAATATCCAACACTTGTCAAGCTTGCTCAAAGTCAACGCCAGTGCCCACACCCACAAAAACTCCCGGCTGGAAAAGTCAGCTTCAGATATTGGGTGAACCTTTCAGCACTGTTTATGGAGTATAAATAAATAGGGGACTAAGCCCATTTGCTTGGGCAGAGCCAACAAATTCATTTTTGTAGGCCTAGCAATTAGAGACTTGGCTCCATTAGACCAGTTAACCGTGGTATAAATAATATCTCTATGTCCCCTCTGTTATAAATAAAGCTGCAGATCACCTTCTATATTCTCACTGGCACTACTCTCCTAGACCTTTGCCAGCTCTCCTCCACTCTGGCACGGGCCGCTACTAACCTGATCGTAGAGTGGGGTGCTACAGGAGCTGCACCCAGACTCGGCGCTGTCAGGAACACTAGTACTCAGGGGAAGGCTGAGGCCCATGGGGGTCGACTGTTTGCTGCACAGTTCCGGGCAGGAAGCCGAAAACGCTTCATATCCTCCTGAGAATACAAAGACATTTTTTCCCATTAGTACCGCGGGGACAGGGCACTTTCATACACCTTCCCCCACCCACCGGGGCCTGGAAGTTTACATCGGAGAGGCTCCGGCAAGTCTTTGTTCCCAGAGCCAAACGAAGCCAATGACAAGACCCCAGAGACGACTCCACCGCCCACGCGCTCCAGGTGGGGCAGTCCCACAGGAGCTGGAGGACAGGGGTCCCCCGCAAGGCTGCAGGGGGAGTGCGGCCCTCCCCGAGCTTCCCCGAGGGCGTACCTTTGAGGAAGAGGACCTGCGCGGCGCGCGCCTCACGGCAGAGTGCGCCAGCGGCCAGGGCCAGGGTGCCTTCGCGCTTGGCTCCGTCCAGGGCGACGCTGCGCTCGTCCAGCAGCACCACGGCGTGGTGGGCGCCCGCCAGCAGGCGGCCGCGCAGCTCGGCGTTGGGCACGATGTGCTCCAGGCCCATGGCGCCCTTGGCCCGGCGCCGCACGATGGTGCTGAAGCGCACGTTGACGGAGCCGGCGATGTGGCCGGCGTTGAAAGCAAAAAAAGAGCGGCAGTCCAGCAACAGGCACTGCGCCGCACGCTCCCGCAGCAGCGTCCGCAGGCCTCCGGCGTCCAGGATGCCCACTTCCATGACCATGGCCGGCCTCAGCGCCCCCAGCCTGCAAGTCCCTCCGGTATTCTTTGTCCTGTCCTCGGAAGCCAAGGCTTTCGAAGAAAAGGCTGACCCTGAGTCTCTTTGTCCTGAACCAAAAGCTACCTTTGGACTGAGTAAGGGGGCGTCACGCAGGACTCCGGCCACCTTCCTTCCTTGCTGCTCCCCGACTACCCCTCCAGGCCGCTTCGCAGCTATAGCCCGGGAGCCCTTCGTAGCGAACTCGGCCCGGGGGAGTGCGTTTATATATGGCCTCTCCGGGGCGGGGCGGGGCGGGGCCGGCGCACTGGGGGAGGG